GCATGGGGGGCTGGGGGGGTGCGCGTCTGTGTGTGTGTGTGCGTGTGTGTGTGCGCGCACACCCGGCTGCGCGCCTGCCGCAGGCTCCGACGCCGGGCTTCGCCCCTCCGCACATCCCAGGGAAGCTGGGAAGGGAGCGCGGGATGAAGGCGCTGGGCATCGGTTCAGGGCGCCGAGCCCAGAGGTGCCAAGAGGGACAGGTCCCCTAATTTGCCACAGAAGCTTGGTGCGAACAGTTAAGGAAACAACTCTTTTTCTTTTTTTTTCCTTCTCCCCTCCCCTTCTCTCGTTTTTCCCCTAGTTGCTATAGAAATTGCTGTGTGTATTGATTGTGTTTTGCTAGCGTTCCCGTGCATTTTAAGTCAGGGTGTCTGCCTTGCCACATCAACTTTTTCCTCGTCGTGCTGCAGCAGAGTTTGCTTGACTCCACTCCGTATTTGGGAGGACTGGTGTACGGGGAGTCCAGCTAGCGTGATTTTCACCGTGCTGTCACGCGCACGGGGGGAACTGTGTTTTTATTGAAATTAATATAGTGTTCTTCGTCGTCAGACAACTGTTTTCATCCCCTCCCCCTCTCCTTTTGGGACTGAGCAAAACCTCCAAAGGGTATTCAGAGAGTGAAGGTATAATCAATCACAGGGCTTGCTACAGGTAAGTATATGCTTCCTATGGTTTTGTAAATGCAAATGTTTTGAAGAGAACAATGACAAATTGCTTGTGTTTTGCCAAAGTGAGCAATTAGGAGGAGCTGACAACTAAAAGAAGTGTAAAACCATTCTGGCAAAAAACAGCCTCACAGATGTTACCCCACGGTCTTGTTCAACCTTGTATTACTTCGTTTTGCTATGTGGTTTTACATTTTACCTCAGGTTTGAAGGGACTTGACTTAGAACTCCCTTTTAACTGATATAGGAGGCAGCTCTCATTTTCTGAAGGTCAGGGAAAGGTTTTATTTATGGTAAGCGCGACTATGAAATTGTTGTTGTCTGAGCTGAGGGTTCTCGGTAGTTGCAGGCACTTCACTTTGCAGCTTTTGATGCTGAGGCTGATTCGTATTATTTTTTAATTAACCAGTGCTGGCTTAGTTTCTTCTGTGCAGAAGAGCAAAATATTCTTTGGGATCAGACGGTCCTTTGTCAGCCATAGGTCTGCAGTTTAATGAAGTAACTATGGGTTTTCTCATGTCCCTTCAGAATTAGAGTCCTGCTAGTGTAATTATAGTTTTCTTTGATTAAACTGCAGCTAAAGCTGAGCAGAATTGCTTCAGTGTAAAGGGTGGAGATAAGCTGAGAAGCCTGGAAACCCACAGTGGGTTAAGCACTCTTGCTGCTTATGCCATTACAGCTGAGGGAAGGATTTGATGAACGCTATACAAAAATGTTGAGTGTTTTCTTTCTTCCTGCGTGCTGCTGGTGACAGCAAGCCCCTCAGATATTGAATGAAGGGATATGCGCAGCAGCAGGTACTTTACACTATTAGCATGGTTTATTTATCCTTAAAAGAAATTAAGCCACTTGTTAAAAATATGCTTTCCTAGATTAATTGAATTGACCTGAAACTTGATTGCATCAACATCTTTTGCTGTTTGCTTGCAACCTTGTACTTTAAATCTTATCATAGCAAGAAAAGAACACTGCTTCCCTCCCTTTTAATGTGCATGTGTGTATGCAGTATATTTATGAATGTGTAACTTCAATTACTTGTATTTCTAAGCAGACTAATAGCTACACATCAAAGTACTTGGCTTCCTTTTAAGTTGGATTGTTTAGCTTCAAACTGTTAGATACCCTGAGAAGGGTATGTCTCTTGACAGGAGATAATCTAACAACCCTAGAAAAGCAAAGAATAGGGCATAGAGACTTCCAGCCAACAGACTGCCAGAGCATCCCATTATTCCCCTTTCACCCCTTAATACCGTGGGGTAGCAGTTCCACCTCATGCAAGTAATTTTTTGTGGTCGTCATTTGAAAAAGACACAATAGTGGTATAACCTTTAATTCTTTCTTTGCTGTCAGCACAGGCAGCTATAAGTTTCTTAGAGAATGCTAGAAAGTAATGAAACTGTAGTCCCAGCTATGCTGGCTGAGCATGTTCGCTGGCTTGACTGATATATTATTCAGGATTGAAAAATGCCAGTATTTCCATTAGTTAATACCAAATCTAGACCTTCTGGGGTTTGGAGGGAAAGGATTTTATAATGAACTGCAATTGTCCCATGATCATAATATCAGTAGGAAAGATAAAGGCATAGCAAGTACCTTTAAAGATGAAAGGTAACAGGTAGAAATCTGTAAGCAGCCCAGATACAGAGAAGTCTGTTTTATTTAATGTGTTCAGAGGCTGAACACTGAATGCAAACCTCCTCAGCCTCTTGCAGAAATCTGAGCCTGGGTCTGAATCATGGTGTAGACACGTCAATTCTTTACTGTGGTTAGAGAAAACAGTAGAAGTTTCAACACCCCCAGAAGTGATCTGAGAGAAAGAGAGAGATTTGGAGCAAGTGAACTGGGATACTTATCGATTTTTATGCAAAGACTCTGACAAGAAAAATTAAGTGGAGAACAGCTATCTAAAGGTGTATTGAAAGAGGGTCTGCACAGAGAAAGGTGCTTTTCATTACAGAGACAGATTAAAACTCCAGAGTTCTCAGTTCCATTCCCACCTCTGCAAAGGAGCCCTGCAAGGCTTTGGACAAGTTTGTGGGCATCTCAAGAGGTCTGTGCATCCTCACAGTGGCACTTAGAAGAGCACCCAAAGAGAGGACCAGTTAGCACTTCCTGTAATGGAAGTACACATCATTTTCCACTGTGGACCACCCTACCCTGCCTGCCAAACCCATATATATTTGTATATATCAGGAGTGGTCTTGCAGGCCTGAAACTGTTCTAGTGAACCCAGAAGTACTGGGTGGGCATCCTGTGACCTGAGCAACTATTTTAATTCATTTGTTGGAACTATGTACAGAGACCAAGATTCATCCCTTATAGCATAGGCAAGTGACTTGCCATTGAAATAATGCCCTCCAGCTCCAGTTATGACTCCTGCTTCCTAGTCATGATCTTACTACGTGTGTTCTTATTGTACTACTGCGCTGGCAAGACTGGAGAAGGAAAATCCATGTTTTTAAGAGGGAGCTCATTCTAATCCACTAGCTGATCTGGCAAAAGGCATGACTAGGAGAATAGCAGAAGAGACAGAAGTGTAACCTAAGGAAAAGATGGGAGGGAGGTGCTGAGTTGTACAATCTCATGTAAGGAAGGGCCTGTAATCTGGAGAGAAGTTAGTGAAGGAATTTGTACATATAGGTGGACTCACTGAAGTAAGGGTAAAGGGGATTGATGCTGATGCAATATTTTGATGAGGTAGAAAAAGAGCAGTGAGAAGCCCAGAGAAGGGCGGGAGGTTACAGTAATGCAGATGAAAGCGGGAGATGTTGTAGCCATCATACAGAAGGGAAAGGATGCATTTAATGCTATGTTAGTTGGCAAACAGCAGAAGAGAGGGGTGCAAAAAGCAACAATATTGAGATTCTGGATGACAGAATAGCAAAAAGATGTTGAAAATGGCAAAGAAAGAATGAGACTGTGAGGGAAAATGAGGTGCTTGGTTTCATCCTGTGAAGTTTGGGTGACCCAGGACATCCAGGACAATGTCAGGGAGGCAATCAGACATGGTAGACCAAACTGAGAGGGAGCGGTCAAGTGTGGAAAGGTGTGAGTCACCGCAAGGAATAAAAGAGCCACAGAAGAGCAATCAGGACAGAGCGCTGAATGCCGCCAAAGGTGTGCAGGGTGGTAAATGCTGGGAGAAACAGGGTAGTATAAAGTTACAAAAGTCCCCCAAAAAGACAGACAGAAAGTGGGGCGACAACAGCAGTTGGAGATATTTTGAAAGTGCCAAAAATGTGAAGGGGAATGCCACTACCTTCTGAATTTGGACATGAGAAAGTGGCTGATAACCTAGGAGAGAACAGGGAAACAGAGCTACAAGACATCCCGGCGTGCTGGGATGGCACGATGCTGAACGTCTCCTGGTACGTACAGAGCACTTCCGGACATACTGATTGCAGTGGTGTCAGGGGAGGGTGGTGGTATTACTGGGTCATAGTCGGTGATGCACTTGATGAGCAAGGGAACGGTAATTAGAGGGAATTAGTAAATAGAGAAGAGATTGGCTGAGTTTTATTTAATGTGTTCAGAGGCTGAACACTGAATGCAAACCTCCTCAGCCTCTTGCAGAAATCTGAGCCTGGGTCTGAATCATGGTGTAGACACGTCAATTCTTTACTGTGGTTAGAGAAAACAGTAGAAGTTTCAACACCCCCAGAAGTGATCTGAGAGAAAGAGAGAGATTTGGAGCAAGTGAACTGGGATACTTATCGATTTTTATGCAAAGACTCTGACAAGAAAAATTAAGTGGAGAACAGCTATCTAAAGGTGTATTGAAAGAGGGTCTGCACAGAGAAAGGTGCTTTTCATTACAGTGACAGATTAAAACTCCAGAGTTCTCAGTTCCATTCCCACCTCTGCAAAGGAGCCCTGCAAGGCTTTGGACAAGTCTGTCTTTGTGTCGCTCGGTACCTAAGTTTCGTATCTGTAAAATGGAGATAATAGGATTTCCTTTCACCTGCCTGCTGATCTATAAATAGACTATGAGTCCTTTACAGAAAAAAAGGACTGTCTCTTGCTGTTTGCATTCCTAGCGCCTCGAACGGTGGGGCTGCGGTCTTATTGGGTCTCTAGGTACAAGTGTAGTAGAAATATAAATAATATTAAGAATAAATGTACCCTGAAGGTTTCATCCAAAACTCATATCCAGTCTGCCTGTCACATACTCTTATACTTTAGTTTTTGCTATTTGAGCGTAGATGATCGATTATCTTATATATGTATGAAAAACAGAGTGGACTGAGATACTGCCACTGCAGGAACTCCAGCATTCCTTTTTCTGCTGTCATCCTTTTTCCAGAGCCTCCAGATAAACATCGTTTCAAAATGGAAAGGTGTTTTTTGTGGCTCCCGCCTGGCATTGAAGACTCTTGCTTCTGTTGTATTTTTCAGCTGGGAACTTCTGAGAACATTGGCTTTATCATCACTTAGGAGACTGTCTCCGAGGTGATTTTTTTTGCTACCCACAAAAGTTAATTATTAAATGAAATAGTTATCTTCTAGGCAGACCACAAGCCCTGCAAGAGCTATGTATAAAAATAAGTTTTTCTTCACTAATTCTCACAGTATTTCAAGCAGTGGCTGCTCTTCCATTACCATCTCCAGAGTGAGCACAGTATGTGGCTATGAGGCATTGCAGTCATTTACAGTTGTACCTGTTCAAAATCCTAAAATATTTTGGAGAAAAAAAAATTAGACTACACAGAACGGAAAAGTAGAAAAAAAGCCAGCACACCTGATCCTGCTGTGAGGCGTAGGAAGCAGAAAAACACACTTGATGTTTCAACAGGCAATATAATTATGCAATGTGTGGCTTTAGTCTCTGAGGAATAGTTACCTTAAAAAAAGAAAAAAAAGGCATAGGCAAACACTGCAGAGTGAAATATGTTTCCTTGACAGTGCAGGTCATAATATAAACCTATTTTATTTTTGTCACTTGAGGTCTGTAGTATTTGATATTTGGGTGAATATGATGGCATGCTA